ACCTTGTAACCATTAAGACTCTTCATGCTGCTTTCTGGCAGATCTGCTGGAAACCATTCTCCTTTAAGATTTTCCATGAGTGGCCACATCATGCCATATGAAAGCACAGCTCCAAGAAGCAAAGACAAATTTACAATGTGGGAACAAATCATTCCGGTTCCAATGTAAGTTGTGCTAAAATCGAAATAAAACCTGCAGAAAACATCATCTGCAGGTTGTAAGAACTAAGAAACTTTCCTCTGTAAATTGTAAAACCTGGTACAAATTTTGCAGATTGCAGACATACGTTTGCTTCCAAGCTTTAAGTCCAAATGTAGGAAACTGTGAAAACCCACAATCGTCTTTTCCTCTGTAAAACCACTGGAAAAAACCCCAGAAAAAACTGAACGATAGACACTTCAAGAAACCTCGTACTTGCTTTCTGCAAAATGACGCAAAGAAAAAAAAAAGGAACATTTGAAGTCCGATTAACGCAGAAACGTGATAAAAGGCAATAAAAAGTGATAAGAGAGGGAAAATTATAGTTACTTGGCCATTTTGTCACCTCTGGAATGGAATCCATTGATTAGAACTGCAGTTGCCATCCCACTTGGAAAGGTCAACTTGTAGTCGATAATCAAGATCTGGGGACCAATTACAACTTCTAAAAGTCATAAAATAATCACTTGAAAAGTTATAGTTTAACGGTGGATGCAAAAAAAAATATTGCTTCAATCTGACTGAAAATGCATAGAATCCAGAGTATAATGTGGTCCAAATCCAAGAAATCAAAATACAGCACGCTTGAAAAATATAATACTCCATATTCTATAGCTTTCTGTATTTAGAAACTCGATTTTCTGCTAAAAATGGTACATGACAACACAACAAAGGATACGAAAAGATATCCCCATAAAACAAAAATAGATCCATGCGTGCTTAAAATTTGGCGATGTTAGCAAGAATTGAATAGTACTAGATAGTATGAAAATAGAACAAGAAGTTAAAATCTACTGCGAATTATGAGATTGGATTGTAATACTGAGAGGTTGTCGTGTACCTTTCGAAGAGGAATCAACACGAAAAGGCCGATAAAACAAACTAAGAAGAGGAAGCCAGTCATCCAACCAAGCCCGGGTTCCTTGACACTGCTTGGAGAATTACCTACAGTACTGAAGCCACCAGACTGCTCAAATGTTTTCTTGTTCATTCCCAATAGATAAGATCCAAATCCTCCTGAAATTACCATGAACATTAAATGAATTAACCTAGTATGAAAAAATAAAAA